CCCCCCCCCCCCGGGAGAATTACAGAGATTAAGCACCGCGTTACACAGCAAACGGCAGATTGCTGCTGATCCTGTTGACTTTTTCGCGAATCATTGCCAAACTCCGCAAAAATAGACTCGCCGGCAACAAATTCCAAGCCCTGGGAACGAGAATGAGAGTAATAAAAAGGCAATGAGATCAGTAGCTAATAGTGTGAAAAAATGCGCCTACCTTTTGAAGATAGAGGTGGACGAGTAAGTTTAGGAGCTGGTGTTTTGACAGAAAGTTTCTTCGGTGAGTGAGTCAGACCAGGCTCACGAGCAACTGAAGGAAAGCAAACAACAGACAATTAAAATAGAATTCCGCAGTTAGAAAAACTTCTTTCCCGTCGTGGGTAGGTTGTGGCGATGACACAACAAATGAAAATAGATATAGTGCAGTGCATTTTCTTTGATTAATAATGGTAATAGGACTGAGTGGAGTCCAACTCGGTCTGTAATCATAGGAGTCATTAACAGAATTGGACGACCGCGAAGCGGGATTCCGATTTGTTAAGCACGAGTATGATTATACAGACTGAAATGGGCCACACGATGTCCTGTTACCAATTAATCATAACCATTACAATTTCCTACAAAAATAAAATTTTCATTTGAAAAAGAGCTTTTAATAGTCATTTTCAAATATCATTATTAAAAATGTGGAGATCGATAGCTTGCAAAATGGTTGCTAAGTTTCTGTCAAAACAGTCACCGGAGACTAAACCTCCACAATTTTACAAAGTCAATCTCTTGAATTGGTTACTATAGTGATTGTAATCAATGTTGTGATTGGTGGATTTAGTTGAGAGGACTTAAAATGATTGGCTCATGTAACTGTCCGATTACAGGTGTCTGATTTATTGCCAACTATCTGATGACACTGTCCGATTACAACTTTCAAGATTAATTAGAGCAAAATACAACAGTTTATGCACCAATCCCTTTTGAGAAAATTGTAATTGTTATGATAAGCTGCGGTATTTTCAATGTCTGCAGGCAGTAGTCTCAAGTTTTCAGCCCTCCTCTTTTGTTTGTTTTACAAAAACGTCCTGATTTCTGCTTAGTAAGGGTTGATTGTCGAGATTCATTCATTGGAATGATCACAGAATAGTCGCTACAAGCTAGTTCTTCTCGGCCAATCAACACTCGAAGCAAAATCGTGGAGCAGCTTTCTCACACAAGGAGGATTCCCGCGCTTTCCGCCAGTTTAATGTGTCTCGTTTTCCAACATTATACGCCGGTCTCCTACTGTTTCCCGTGGTTTTCGTATTTGTTGTGCTTTCCACCGATCACGGGTGGTTGCTTTTCCCGCACCGCGCTTTTCACCGGTTACACTTGTTTCACTTTCCCGCACTTTCCACTGCACCTGGTTGTTTCTCCGCACTTTGAGACAGTTGCTCTTCCCGCACTTTAAAACGGTTACATGTGGTCGTTTTTCCCGCGCTTTTTCCAAGTTTATATCCATGTTTCGTTTCCTCGCGCTTCCTACCAGCAACGAACGTTTCCAAGTTTTCATTGTTTAATGAGGCTATTTGCAACCGCACTGAAGGGCTCTATGGCTGTTTTAGAGTTAAGTCTAAGAGATCATTACAAATTGCTTTAAACTTTAAGTACAGTACCACTCGTTCTCCCAGTAATGCCTGTTGAAAGCACCGCCCTGCTGAAATTATGTTCTACCGGATCTGAAATGTCAATCAAACAAAGGTTTTGTTGATTATTATACCCCAATTGACATTTCTTTACCATAAGAATAACAATACTATTACACAAGCACATCTACGTTTAACCATTGTGAGAAAAGAAAACACCTCACTAGTAATAGTGGAAAGCAAGTTGGTGAGGTGCGACTCGCGCGGCGAATTCGCTCCCGATTATTATTCAGGCGCCCGCTATGGAGACTGTCTTAATTAAGGGAAACACGTCGGCTTATTGTTAGCGCGCTGGGGTCTAGATCAAACGGGAACCCTGGAGCCCTTGCGACGTGTTCTTAGGCAAGACACTAGACGGGTAACCCTGCGATGGACCCTAACGAGAAAAACTTGACGAAAGATGGGGAAGCTACAACGCAAACCGTCTGTGAAGCAATGGGCAAAAATTAAACAGGCTGCTATTTAACTTAACACGAGAATTTTATACATGCAAGTGTAATTGTGAAGAACCATCAGATTCCGAATATTTCCCTTAGTAAGCTAATTTTTCTTCAAAGGTGTTTGGATCGATCACTTATCATTTATGTCCAGGATTCCACACTAATGAGACAAACTAGATGCATGCTCTTTATGAGAAGCAACCCAAAGTGTCATTTTCATATTACTTCATATTTGACAGAATTATAAGTGTGTTTTGGTGCCTTTTTACGAATGAGGACACTTTGTGATGCTTATTATAAGCAGCATGCATCTCATTAGCGTGCAATCCTGGACATCAACCTCGTTCCCAGGACTTTTCCTGGGAACGAGGTTGCCTAAACAAATCTCTCGCTTATTGGAGGAAGGGAAGGGGGAGGAGGGGTTACTACAGAGTCGAAAGAAATTTTGCGATTAAAAAAGGGCAGAGTGTATTTTGAGTGCGAGATATTTAAGGAAAGCACAGGGGCCGAAACTCTCTTGACAGTTTTCTCCCCTCGATCATTCTGGCATGATTGAAGCTACTAAGGGTTAAGGCCTCAGTCAGCATTAAACTGGGTCCGGGAGGGACGGGGAGTTGATTCTAATTAACTGGCGGACCTTAAAGCTTATGGCACCCGACGTAATATGAACAAAAGTACCTTTTAATTCTCTTAATTACCTGGGTTTGAACTTGGTTTTCGGTCTATTATGCTAGTGCGTTCGTCTGGGTTATCGGCTTTGCGTGACAAGTCTTCTATGGGAGTTGTGACAAGAATCACTCCAGGTGGAATAGAGAGATCGTCTTCATCCGATTCGGAATCCAGTTGATCTGCTTCTATGTGATTTAGCTGGGAGTCGCGTGGCTTTTGCTCTGGAGTTGCGCGCGAATATGAAGAAGAAATGGCCAGTGGAGGAGCAGCCGGCGCATCGCCCTGGTAAAAACAAGTTAATAAAGTGACAGTCAACAAACTTACAAAGTGCTTGCATGGAGTAACGGAGTGGAGTTGAAGTGTTAATTATCGTGATGCGAAAACAGAGAGCGCTGCTGTGAAAGAATTTTCGCAATCTTCAATCTTCTTTCTGCACCTGTCACGCCAGCCTTCCACGTGTAGGCAGACCTGTTTTTTGACTCATCACACACTTCCAAAAGAATACCTACGTAACTGAGTTTATAACTGTCACGCAGACCAACGGAGCGACAAAATTCACAGACAGATGTGTGAAACAAAGACTACTCCGTGCTTTGCAGCTTATCTGAATTAGTATTTGAAAGGCAATTGAAACCTGTGTAGCTCGACACAAATTTGACTCACACTATTTCACTTTGGTTTTCGTACAGACATTACAGTATCTCGCGCTAAGGTAAATAATCTTGCAGATACTTGAGGGAAAAACACTAGTCAATCATGTTACGAGGAACCAACCTTCACTGCCAACTCGATAAGGTACATCCATTGATGCCGCTTCAAATTTGTCTCGCACTAGAAGGGAAGGGGAGAAACATTACACCCTGATAGAAATATAATCGAATTTCCTAAGTCAATACTTAAATTGTTCCTTAAGGCACAGAACACAAATTGACGCAATAAAAACAAACTGTTGGGTAAAGCATCTTTTCAAACTTCGCGTTCCGCCATTTTTGATCGAGAGGACATTTTGGTTGAAAACACGTCAGCTTTCTTACTCATCATTTAAAAAATTGCTTTCAAAAACATTTCAGACTACAACCTGCCGCCCTTTTGTCTCAGTCGTCGATGATGTAGCCTACGATACAGGCGTTCTTATGACCCGTCACACACAACTCCCTAAAGAACGTGGGGGAGGAAAGATTGCGTGACTTCCCTTGTATAAGGCTATCGATGGTGACGCGAAAGAACGCGCGAGAGGGAAAAAAGACGTCCGAACGCGAGAACTCGCGCGGTTACTTTTCCTCTACAGCCATTTCTCTCATCACGTTCGACGGTCTTAGAAAAAAAGAGGGGTCGCTCGTACTCTACGAAAGTTTCCAAATGGAAGTTACCAGACGTTACATCTTTCGGTGTGTAGTCCCTGAGTGCGTGTGTTCTGATTGCTTAAATATGATCGGGAGACTTTCGCCCATGTCTCTATAAACTCGGCGTTACCTTAAACAGATGAGTGCCTCGGTCAGTGCTGACATAAAACGGAAAGCTGTAGTTTCCTCTCCTGGCTATGTTACACTTCGTGCTCGATGTTAACTCGATGGATCCTCTAAACTATAAAATAGATTTTAAAAAAATGAATTACAGTAGAACGTCTATAGGGAGGTTGGATAGATAGACGCTCTCGTAAGGGAGTCCCCCAGGGTTTCTCCCTCCGAACTCGGCTTACTCGGCAAGTCTTCATTCAAAGATAAAAATAAGAAAGATAGAAATAACCTTACGTTATCACGGTTAGTTGTTGCTCGATCCCTGTAAAATAGCATCCATACCCCTCGGATTACGACCCAATACTGCATCCACTGAAGGGAAAAAGAGCAGATAAATATACATTTCATTGAAGGACACCTAAGAATAGTAGTTTGGTAAGATAGAAAAACCGCATAGAGACAGTAATAAATTATAAAGGAAGAAGAATGTGGAGAAGATTGACACGGATTTTGTACAAATGGTGAACTTCAAAAATTTAGGCTAAACTTTTCAAGATGCGAAACCGTGACCAAGCTCCTTTAATTTTGGCGCGAAATTACAGCGTGAAATCACAAAAGTGAAATCACAAAATCGCCATGGCAACGTGTGGGGCAAAATAGTCAAAAACCCACGATTGTTTGGTATACTACTGAAATTAAGAAACAATTTCACTTGCGCTTTGTCAAAACTAAATTGGCTAAAGGCTCGGGAAATTATTAAAATTTGACAAAACGCGCGTGAAATTATTCCCTCATTTCACTCGTCACCAATTGATTATCCATACCAATTTGCACTCACTTTAATTTCACTGCTAAACCTCCCCTGGCAAAGACGTATATCATTGACAGACCTTTACACGCCTACTTTTATCTTTTATCTTTTAACCTTTTTACAATTGTAAATTTAGTTAGCATCGGGCAGGCGAAGAGCCACCCTGTGGATAAACTGCCCGAAATGCCATTATTATTATCATTATTATTATTATTATTATTATTATTATTATTATTATTATTATTATTACTTTACATAAATATAAAGGCTTCACAACATATAAACTTAATTAACTCACACATTCACAGCGGCAGGTCTTTTTTGCAGGGTGCAGGTTGCAGGTTACAGGTTGAAATTTAATTATAACTGGAAAACCGCTGGCACTAAAAATAATTAATAACCTTGATACTCGTCAGGGGTTCTTACATAATGTAGTTCACCCCTTTCACATAGTGAAAATACAATTGATCCGCCATAAGTACTTATCGATCGACACGCTGAGACCAGTGAAATCTCTTCAAAGCCATCTGAATGGCCCCTCCACAGATGTTTACATCGATTCCAGAATTGGCTCGGTCAACAAGAACTGTAAGCTTAACAACAGAAGATTGCCATCACAAATGAAGCAAATAAATAAAGAAATGAAATAATATAAGATTTTAACCGTCGGAATATACTAGCAC